TGAAAAAATCAATTAATCCCTATAAATCAATATTTATTTACTTTGGTCTTTATAATATAAATTCTTATAATTTTAAGTTAAATTGACTTTAAATTTTGATATTTTTTCAATTAAATATTCAGTTGCATTAATTAAACTATTTTAAAGTTTATTTAAGTTTTTAAACTTATCAATTCTTTTAATTTTTAGCTAAATTGGCTTTCAATTTTATAATTTCATTCTTATTAGTCCTCTAACTTTTAATTTGTGCTCTCTTAATCTAATTCTCAAATTATTTTTTATTTATTTTTTTTTATTAATATTTAAAAAAAAAATTCAAGAATTAGGTTATGATAACATTTATAACTGTAATTTAATTTTTATAATATATTAAGGTATTTTTAAGTTTGATGCAATTTTTTTATTTTTTTTTAAGTACCAGGTAAAAATTGTAAGTATGATGTAAATTTGATTCTAAAATACTTAATTAGGAAATTATTTGTTTTCTTTATTATTGTTATTTCTATTCAATTTAGAAAAATATTTTCTTGTATGGTGTTTTTTTTCTACTTAGTATAGAAAATCAAATATTGAGCTTGATAATTTTATTTTTCTTATTTAGTTTAGGAATCCTTATAATAACTCTATAATTATTTATTATGATTCCTTTTCCTCTTCAAAATAGACCTCACTAGTATAAATAAGGTTTTTTAGTTTTTATTTTAATAAATTACTTGAAGAGAAAAGATATATTAATAAAATTTTAAATTTGTGTGATGACCCTATTCATCTTAATTCTGTTGATTGTGTTTGTTGTTTTTTTGTATTATTTATGGTTGCATCGGTTGATATTAAAACCCAATGATTCTTGGTGATTAGTTGTTGTGAGTTATTGAATAACTATGGATGAAAGATGTTGCAAAATAAGATGTATTCATATAAAAAAAGACATAGATGTCTCCTAGAAAAGATATGTTTAAGAATAGATAATAAAATATATGTAGAGACAAAATGCAAAATTGCGCAGTGAATTGATAAAGGTCATAACTTGAAAGATTTTAAAAAAAGTGATCATAGATCCATAATTAACTTTGAAACCCCATTTTAAAGGTGAGTATAGGAGGCAACCTTTTGATCATGATGGATATGATATTAAAACTGAAACTATTGATAATTCTAATTCTTTTATGAATTGGAATCAACTTATCAATTTATGATATTTATATTGATGATAATTATATCGATTATTGCTTTTGATATTGTGACAATCTTAAAAATCAAAATAAAGAATAGATTTTTGATATCCTATTCTCAAATAGAAGAAAGGTACTGTTTAAGGAGTTGCCATCTAATATTATGATTATTAAAAATCATAACTGGTCCACAGAGATTCTATGATACGAAATTGGTTACGCAAAATAAAAGATATTACACCCCTTAAGCGTCCTGCCTAAGACAAGTTGCATTGCTAGTTTTGTCTTAAATTGCTAGAAACTTGTTGATTTATACTATGATGGTCTACTTATAATATTTCAGACTTAGCATAAATGAATATTGAATCATGGATATTTCTAACTCTGACGTTAATAAATATTACCTAGTAAAAAAAGAACCATGATATTTTTAGCTCTGACATTAGTAAATAAACCAATAAAATAAATTTAAATCAATACTTGTGTATTTGTTTTATTTATTTTTTAAGAAAAGTATCATACACCAAATTTACACTTTATAGTAAACATTCACATATTAATTATATAGTGAAATATCTAAAAAAACACGAGTGATCTAAAAATAAATTTAAAATGATTCATGAAAATTTTTAAAATTTTTTGATATTAAAAATATCTGTTTTACTAGATATCAAAAGAAAAAAAAATAGTAAATATAAAGGGGTAAAGAATGAAGGTGTACCTAGCAAAACATATCATTGACCCAGATGGTCCTTTGGCCCGGTCTCATCCTTTTCTATTTTTTTGTCTAAACTGTACGGACTGATTTGGATTTAACCAGCCCGGCCCAGCTACTAGCACAAGCTAACGATCCAACTATACAAAGCAGCAGGCGTGTGTGAAATGTTCAAGCACATTTGCTCCAGGAAGGGTTAATTATAAATGAAGATGCACAGTGCCTATGTAATTAAAATGGAAAGGGAACGCTCATAGGGTAGCTAAAATTTTCAGGCCTGGGTTTGCTCTAGAGTTGAGTAGTTTGATTGCTATAAATCTTAGAATTACCTGAGATTTATATGATTATTAATTTTAGGGCTTCAAGGGATTCTGAATAAGCTTACTCGCATACTGCCTATAGAAAAAAAGAAGTAAAGGGGAGGAAAATGAAGAACTCACGTACCTGGAAATGCCTGGGGATGAAGATGATGGCAAAGGAAGGTTGGCTGACTACTTTCTCCTCCTATGTTTTTTCTTGTTCCTTCTCTTTCTCTCTACTGTTATCTCTGTATCTCTCAGTGTTCGGTTTTTTTTGTTCTGTTTCTGTGCATCTTCTGTGCTATATCCTCTCTACGTTTTCTACTTTCGCTCCCTCTGGTCTTTTTTTTCCTGTGTTCTGGGCTCCTGTATTTTTTAGTCTTCTTCTCCTGTTCATCTGAGCTTGCTCTTAATTGCTGGAGTTTTGAAGGAAATTCTACACTCTCTCTCCTCTGTTTCACTCTGCCTCTGGTTTTCTGTCTTTGTGCCTCCTCTGTCCTTTTTTCTTTTTTCCCTCTGGTATATTTTTGTTTGTTTCCCTAGTTTCCTCTATTTCACCTTGCGCCTCTGCTCTCTCTCTCTCTCTCTATCCCCACTTTTATTCACCTGTTGTGTTCGTATTTATAGGCAAGAGAATGTCCTTGCATCTCTCAGAGTGGTGATCGTTCAGCCGCTAGGATAACATCTATTATTGGAATATTAATGGCACATTGTAAGAGGGAGATGTTGTCACGTTCTTTGCCATTTTTGCTGAATCAGGATGGGGGAGATGAACAGTTTTCTTTAAAACGGTACCGTTTTGTTATGGGAGTAACCAGTTTTTATTTGGTCATTGAAGTCCTGAAATTTTGTAATCAAGCCTCTAGGTAAATTATAATTAGACCCCTTTATTTTAGCACTATTTCAAAATGTTCCTTAGGTTTTAATTTATTGCAATGTTAACTCAAATCAGCCCCAAACTTTGTTATTTCTTTAATTAAGTAACTGATTTCTTTAATTAAGCTAATTCCAAGTTTAGTTAAGTCCCCCAACTTATCAATCGTAAAATTAAGCTCTTGATTTGATTTATTAAATTAATACAAAGTTTAATTAAGTCCCCAAAACTTTTAATTTATATTGTCTTGACCAAAATTTCAATTTATTCTTCATTTATTTTATTTTTCATATATTGTTTTACTTTTTCATCATCATTTTTTTATTTTTTTTTATTTTTATATAAAATAAAATAAAATTAAAAAATTAAAAAAATTAAAAATTGAGTTATTACATCAATAATAATAGCATAAACAATGATATTAATAAGTAATGACAGTAATTATATTATCAATAATATTATTGATAAGTTAAAGATTGAGTGGAAAGATAACATAAAAGGTATTTAATAAAAAAAAATTGATTCAAGCTATGTTGATAACTTTAATTACAAGTTTACTATTAATACAAATATAGATTTTTTTAAGGGTTATTTGAATACAATACATGTTTAAAGAAAGTTCAAGGTTTACAATTCATTACTATAAAAGTCAATAGAAGAAAAATAAATTATCAATTGTTGTTGTTTATGTAAATTTTAACATGAAAAGATTGAAATTAATATCTAAAATTGTTATACATCTAAAATTAAAAAAAATAAGGGGTTAAAAGTTTTAATTGAACATCTATAAAATCAATTTAATAACAATTTAAACTCAAGAATAAGCTATTTCTAACATGAAAAGATTAATATAACATTTTAGAAGAAATTATTTGTTTCCTTATTTTTATTCGTATTTAATTTTAAAAATCAAATATTATGCTTGATAATTTTATTTTTCTATTTAGTTTATTAATCCCTATAATAAATCAACAATAGTTTATTAGATTTTTTCATTTCAAAATAGATCTAGAACTTATATAAATAAAAATATGTAATTTGTATTTAATTAGGCCGCTTGAAGATAAAATACTTAATAATATAATTTTTAATTTAAATTTTTTGTGTGGTGACTCTATTTAGCAAAATTGTATTGCTTGTTATCGTTTTTGTGTTATTTAGTTTTTAAATTGTATTATTTAATAGTTTTATGTACTTTAAAAAACTATGTAATGTTTTGATTATTTTTCTTTGTTTTTTTTCTTATTGTTTTTATAATATTTATGTGTTTTCAAAGAAATAACTCATCTATTAAGCAGTTTATTTAGTTTATTAAATAACTTGTTTAATTTTCTAAGAAGATATTTAATTCAAGTTATGTAATTAATAAATATTTTGACTCAAACAGTACAATAATAGATTACGATACATGCGATTTCATTCATTATCAAATAACTGAGATATTTAATCTCATAATATAATACAGCAGGAATTGCACAGACAACATAGGAGAGGTAGATCAGTCTTCAAATAAACCAGGCCCTGCACGGAAGTCTTCTACAATTCTAAGAAAAGTTGATTTGTCTTAATCTATGTTTAGTCCCTTAAATTGCTTGGATAATTGGCTTTGGTCCCTAAACAATAAAAGCTTTTTCTATCTGGCCCAGTTACTCATAATTAATTGGATAATATTTATTTCAGATGTAAATGAATATTCAAGATTAATAGAAATGGACGTTGCAATAATATGTTGCTGTCTTTATGGTGCAAATAAAACTAGTTTATGCTGAATTTGGAAAATCAGCATCAATTTGTGACCAAGGACGATTCCTTTTCCCAAATTTACTCCATGAACATCCATTAAAGCTGAAGCATCTGTAGTTCATCTGCCTTCAGCAGTTGAGTTTAGTTGACTGGATGATCTTCAGATTGATTCCTGGCGACTCCAGAACGATAAAAGAAAGAAATAAAATATAAATGGTATATTATTGTCACAAATCTGTGAAGCTTATGACATAGGAAGCATCTTTCCTTGCTGTACGTTTAGAACCTTAGCACTGCAGATTGGCATTTCTCCCAGAAAAATCATCTAGCAGCAATAGCATGTCCTACATTCCACTCACCCTATTTAGTACAATACAATACTATAACAAGATTATTTTAATTTCTTTGAAGATCAAGTCAGAGCTCGGTGTGAATAATATCCTCAGTACTGGTTTCAAAAAGCTCAGAAATTTTCATCTGATCAATGACATTAGAGTTCTTGGCATGGGAACTTAGGCAGTCGGCTGAGGGATGCACGACACCATACCCAAAGCCTTGTGCAGAGTTGCAATAGGTCTCCTCTGTGCCATCCTTCTCTAAGTTGATGTTGCTCAACACTATGTTGCTGCAAGGAACAGTATCACTGCATGCAAATTTCATGGCCTTTGAACTTTTTGTAGTACCTCTTATATTCCGGTATGTTATCTCACTTATTTCAACAGCTGATGTCTAAAAAGAAAGAACGGCAGAAAAAAAATAATGGAGATTCTGGTCAGATGGTTGGCAGTTAGCCTGTTGTAACAAATATATTACAACAAGATATGGTAAAATGGAAAATGGCAGAGTTACCTGGTTTTGGCATGTTTTTGGAGAATCACAGTAGAACTGATCAATAATGATGGGATTTGCAACATTCTCCATTGCCACATTCTCGAAGAGTACCCCACGGACATAACCATGACCACCCTTCAACAGAAAACTGGAATGATCACTTGGACATTTAAAAGCACAGCTTATATAGTAAGATTTGGAACATGTTTAAGAAAAACAGCACTTGAAGCCTCTAGAGTCTGAACAGTACAGTTCATCATCATGCAAAGTATTACCTGCCAAGTTTTAATTCTGAGGCCATTTGTTGTCTCCCGAAGGAATGCTGTATCCAAGACTACTTTTGTTACCATGCCAGTGGAGTTGTCCTTCCCAAGACTTCCAATGCTGATTAGCAGAAACATTTGCGCAAAAGAATTAGTTCATGATAAAATAAGAAACTCATTCCTAGTTGTTCTAAACACTTAGTGAACATTAACAATTCAATTGAAGCTTGAGCTTTAGGACTTCACAATAAATATACCTGATTCCATGTCCTGGTCCACAAAAAATTCTCTTCATCTTGATATTGGAGCTACTATTCACGATTGAGACACAGTCATCACCTGTGTATTGAAGTAGAATCAACACAACGACCTGTTAGTAAGTGTGCCTATAACACCAGCATACTTGCCACCGTGAAACTTGTTTCACTTGGGAACTTAGTCTTGAATTTTAAGTTTCTCCATGGATGCATCATGATTAATTGCTTTGATTGTTTTACTTGTCTTGTGGTTTGTTTTTGTCATTTTTAAGACAAATGCTTAAAAAACAAACGAATATGAGTTCTCTCCCCTTTAAATCTCATTTTCTTATACTCAGAAAATGGAAGAGGAAGAAAAGAATGATGACAAGGTTTTCAAACCTGTTCCAATTTTGCAGTCCTGGAGAGCAACATTAGTTGATCCAGTAATATGAATTCCATCAGTGTTGGGACTATCTTCTGGAGCCGAGACTAGCACATCAGAAACCCGCACAGAATCAGAATGGGAAATCACAAAGTGCATCTGTTGGCTGTTTTGGATAGTAAGGCCTTTAATCTTTACAGCTGAGCTTGAATCAATAGTTAATGCCTGCAAAATCCTTGTCTGTTAGTTCCAACAGTGTACATTGGCAGTTCTATTAGATGTTTTGGATATGTTTCTCAAACACTGGTGAATGTAATGAAGAAACAGATGCTTACTGTTGGTGCTCCTCTGCAAGGCTGTAAAGTACAGAAAGAGAAATATGTGTTACATTTTACTCTTGGAATAGCAACACACTAGTAGGGGTAAATCTAGATAGAGTTTAGAAGAATTACATTTGACTTGTTCTTTTTGCAGGATGATGCCCACCATTTGCTTCCCGAGCCATCAATTACTCCGTTCCCTTGGAAGAGAACTCCATTCAATTTAGAGAAGTATAGCCAAAGTCGAGGAAGATTTGGATCCCAGTTCTTAGGCTCATCAGGTGCCACTATTGTTCCATCTATCTGCAAATGCATAATGAAGATGGAATGTTTGATGATGGGGATATATGCATATTACTTTCACATTGGAAAAGTGCCAACAATAATTCATAGCAATAAATGACAACGCTAATCTCAGCTGAAGTATATGGTCTTGGTCAACTCAATTTGATACAGCCTTCCAAATTACCTGGATGACCAACCTATCAGCACAGGGCCCTTTAAATCTCGTTGCATTAACCAAATAATGCCGTCCTGGAGGAACCAAGAAAACTGATTTTGGTGTAGTACAGGCTGTGTTCCAAGCATTTTCAAAGGCCTGGCGATATAACAATACAAAATAAAGCCAGTTGATAATCAGCATCAAGACTACTTTGAACATAGAAAGAATCATAAAAGTTTACAGAAGGGGAAATATTGTATGCTTCAAATGGTATTACATAAGCTCCAGGCTACCTGGTTCTTTAAAGGTGAGCTATCAGTATTCAGTTTTGGAGTTGACTTGTGAAGCTTAACAACCAAGGAAAACCAAATACTAGAAAGTTTATGAAGTTGTTTCAAGAAAACAGAACGCACCTGAGTGTCATCAGAAACCCCATCTCCCACAGCACCAAAGCTATCAACATTGACAAGAACCTTGCCCCCACGTCCACTTGTCCATGATGGAACAACCTTGGAAAGCTCCGTGTCATCTACTTCTCCTATGTCAAAGGTTTCAAGCTTCTCAAGCATTGCAATGCTGTCAAATGCCATATTTCCTGTAACTCCGTGAGCCACTATCAGCAAACCAAGAATCGAAATGAAGAAGAATTTATCCATTATATTGTCAGTTCTTTATGTTTCGCAACACTAATTGATTTATGCAAGTCCTTGTGAACATTAGGTGAATATTTATATGTGGAGATTAGATATTGAAATCTGGAGCTTTGTGGGCTCTATGGCTTGGCTTAAAAGCACATTAACAAGCAAGAATTTCTACACCCCTACACTTAAAGTACAAGGAATTTTTTTTAAAAAACTACTTTGCTTTACTCAACAAATACACAGACCATTCAAAGTGTTCATGGATTCTGCCTTTGGCTTCTGTTCTATCTTTGAAGACGTAAATTAAATGTTTACTGCAAAAGTATACAATGAGGCAGAGAAACAATGCAAAATACTTTAAGCTATGAAGAAATCAACTGTTTTGTTGGACCAAACAAGGCAGCAAAAAAGCTTATGGTGACTTCCCACTACATGCACATCAAACGCTTCAAGCAAAAGAAAACTTTACATAGATATTTTTGTAGACTTGACAAGAAGGGCTTGATTTTGTGAAATGAAAGTTCAATTGCTGTCTACTGTCTGAGGCGATGTCTGATGTCTTCAGTTTTCTTATTTTGGACAGAGCTCCAATCTATATGGGGATCGTTCACCTCTATAAAACTGCGACCAATCTCCCTTGTCAACTTTCTTGCTATAGCGAGCTCTCTAATGTGCATTGAGGCTTCATATTCCCCAATGTCGGAATAGAAGTTTGATACTTGCAAATACACTGAAAAATCTTCTGGGTCAAGCTCTAACAATGCCTTCGCTGCTCTTCTTCCTACAATTTCATTCCTATAGATCCTACAGCTTCGCAATAATGAGGTCCACATCACACAATCACCTCTTCCAGATGCCTTTTGCGTCAACTCTTCCGCTTCATCAAGCAAACCTGCACGCCCCAAGATATCAACCATACAGGAAAAATGTTCCTTTGATGGACAGATCCCATACTGGGCTTTCATTGAATAAAAAACCAATCTTCCTTCTTCAAACAACCCAGAATGACTGCATCCAGTTAAAACACACAAGAATGTCACTTTATCAGGTTCCAAACCCTTTCGGATCATTGCTTCAAATGTCTGAAGGCATTCTCTCCCCAACCCATTCTGTGCAAGCCCGTTGATAATTGACGTAAAACAGATTACATTTGGTGAAGGAAGTTGTTCAAAAACCTTTTTTGAAAGTTGAACATGACCACACCTTGAATAAGCATCAATCAACGAACATGAAACTGCAACATCGGATCCGAAACCTAATTTCATTGCACAACAGTGCACCAATCTGCAGCTGTCCATACTTGCAAATTCAGAAACTGATAATGCTTTCAGTGTTGTGGAAAATGTAACCTCATCAAGTCCAATTCCTTCATCAACCATCAAACCATACATCTCAACTACATCATAAACAATACCACAGTGCAGCAAAGAGGTCATTAAAGAATTGCAAATCTGTGTAGTTTTCTTGGGAACACTTTCGAAAGCGGACACTGAACTCTCAATGTACCTGCATTTCCCATACATGTCAATCAACGCAGATTGTACATGAAAACTTCCAATGTCAAAACCCATCTTCAAAACACAACAATGAATCTGCTTCCCAAACAAAATATTCCCATTCAAGCTTGACAAATGCAATAGTGCAACAAATGAACGAATTGATGGCTTTCCCCAAAACTGCATCAAATAAAACAACTCAACAGCTTCAAATAATAAGCCACAATCAGCATAAACTGATACTATTGAATTCCACGAAATGACATCCTCCACCCTAATGGACTCAAATGATTTCCTTGCATCATTCAAACTCTTACAAGCAGAATAAAAATCCACTAAAGCATTAGCAACAAAAATATTTGATCTCGCCCATCCAACTTTAATAATATGACAATGCAGCTGCTTCCCTTCATAAAAAAACTTTTCATCACAGCACCCTCGAATCAAATAACAAAAACTAAGTCCATTCGGATGTACTCCATCCAATTTCATCTCATGATACACTCTTAATAACTCATGGAATCGACCCAGTTCACAGAAACCGCGTAAAACCAAATTCCAAGTTGCCAAATTTCTCTCAGGCATTTCATCAAACAAACTAAAACCCAAATCTAAACATCCCATCTGCATATAAAAACCAACAAGTGAGGTTCTAATGAACAAATTGCAGCCACACCCAAGTTTAATAATCCTGCAATGAACTTGAATTCCTTGTTTTAAAAACCCATCATGGCTGCTGCATATACTTAAAACAGACGAAAAAGTTGATGGGCTTTCGTTAATTCCCATGGAAACCATTTCATAGTAATAGTAAAGAGCTTGTTTTGGCATTCCGTATTTTCCAAGCCCAGAAACCATCAAGTTATATGTAACAACATCACACATGGACATTTCTTCGAATAGTTTTTGAGCAAGGGTAAAGTTCCCTGATTTTATGTAGCTGTCAAGTGTTCTGTTTTTGGCGTAAATGGTATCGTTTATGTGAGGTTGGAGGTAAGATTCTAAGACCAGTGATGATGATGAGGTTGTTGTTGTCGATGACAGCACTGGTCGGTGTATTTTTTCTGTTAAGGTTGTTACTGTACGGACAAGAGGCAGTCTTAATTTGGAATTGGTGGATTTCATTTGCATGCTCGAACATGTGCGTGCCTCCTTAGAATTTAGATTTATATAGGACTTGGGATACGAATGAAGGGGTGGGTTTAAAATAACTTTGACATCTTCACTCACCTAATTATTATAATATTTAACTTGAATTTTTTAATTAATAAATAAATTGAATTTATATATTAAAAAAATAAAATAAAATAAAATAAAATTCATTTTATTTTATGTATTATTCTTATTATCTTCATTTTATTTCTTTAATTTTTTTAAAGCTAGATGCTTCAAAACATTAATTTTAATATTAAATTTCTCCTATTTGAAATTGTAAATTTTAAAAGTTGACATCTAATTCACTTTTGTAGCATTTTTAAAGATTGAATTTTAATTTAAGACACTTAAGTGATTTTCAAAGATAAGATTTTATTAAAATATGTGGATAGTTATTAGATGTAGAAGTCAAATTAAGACCTTAGTTGTGAATTTATTGGGTGAATCAAAGTTTATTTTAAATTTGAAGAAAGAAAACATGTCATTTGAACAAAAAATTTTAAAACATTATCTTACAATTGACCTTGTCATATTTCACCCATATGACACCCAAATTTAGTTAGGTTAATTGAATCATGAATTGACTAAATAGATCATCTAAGTTTTAATGGATCAACTTTTAAAATTGTTAAAAAAACTCAACTTGTCATGATCATTTAGTAATTAATTGATTTATATTTGAAAATCGTACCGTATTCAACAACTTGTCATGATCCCCTAAATATTAAAAAAATCATAAATAATTTGATTTAACCTTTAATTGACTAGTTTCTTAATATAATTATTATATCTCTTCATCAACTGTTTTTCAATTTAGACATTATATAATGAAGTGTGTCTACTTTGTCAAATTATGTTTATTTTTAATATCATAGTTATTAATTGTTTGAATAAGATTTGAAACTCTTTTCAAATCTCATTTCATCTTACTTAAGAATTTATAATTAATATTATTTGAGAATAGATGAAATATTTTATCTAATTCATCTAAGATGATGAGATTTTTTTTAATTACTCAAATACTTTTATATAGTTCATATTATATCCAATATTTTTTTGTTTGTTACCCTTTATTAGGATAATATGTAGCAGAATCAAAATATAATATTTACTATATAAGATAACCTAGTGATTTCGAGTCTAAGGATCATTTACACAACTATCATGTAAACTTTTTTATAAACACATATGATCTCTCCATATGGAATTCTCATATAGGTCATTTTAGTGTATATGCCATCTGACTAGTATCTCCATATTAGTTTTAGATATTTCTTGTACATTAGTTTATGAAAACCAATTGCTTCTTTTCATAAAAAAAATAATATATATATAATCAGTCTTAATAGATCATTGACAAAAAAATATTTAGAAATAATGCTTTATTACTATAGGAATCTCAAAATTATAAAAACTTATAATTTTTTTTTTACAAAGCATTTTTGTTCCAAAAACTTTATCTTTACTTTAGATTTATTAATCAAATATTTAATAAATATTAAAAATAAATAATTTTTTATTAATAACTAAATATATTTATATACAAAGTTATTACCATGTGAATGTAGAGCTTATATAAATCAAAGTTTATAGAATATATACACTAATCCTATATGGATGATTCATTATCACTAAATAGACAAACCAAAACATAATAATTATCTTAACAACATGTTTAAGAGGAATTTAGTAAGGAGATAATATTAAGAAGTGTTTGAGAATATGGTAGCAGTTATTTTTTAAAATAGAGGTAAGCAAAAAAAATTAAAAAATCAATTAAGCAAAAAAATTAAAAAACATATTAAACTAAGAGAATAAAAATAATAACAAAAAAAATTGAACTGTGAAAAAAACAAATTAGAATATTTAAAAAAACTAATTGGTTTGGTTTTATAAGACTGAAATTGAAAAACCGAACTAAATCAAATCAAAATTAATAAAAAATCAAACTGAAAAACTAAGCCAAATAAGAAAAAACCGAGCCAAACCAATAAGTTGGGTTTTAATTTTTGTTCTAAAATAACATAATTGAACCAAAACCGGTCAGTTTGAATCGATTTTAATTTTTTTAAATTCAGTTTAGTTATTTTTAGGTAAAAACCGAATCGAACCAAACAAAAAATAATCAACTCTATTTCAAAGTGTTTTTTTATTTGGAAATGTATTAAAATAATATATTTTTTATTTTAAAAAAATTATTTAAATATTAATATATCAAAATGATCTAAATACAAAAAAATATTAATTTAAAGTAAAAAATAAAAATTTTAATTTTTTTTAAAAATATTTTCAAAACATTAAAAAAAAAATGCACATAATTTAGCCGGATGCGGTTGGGTTTATGTTAAGGCCATTTGCTGGGATCGCAAAAACCTGCAAAGCCCGTTTAGCCATGTATAAAAAAAGATAAAGAAAACAAAACAAAACCTACACAATGAATAGTGATGCTAACCGCATATATTTTAGCTGTTGCACAGCAATTTCTTAATTAAGCCACGTAGTTAGAACATGTTCAACCATGCACAGTACTCTTGCTCCACTTCAATGCCCACTATGGTTAGAAAAGGGGGATTTTTTAGCTTTAAGATTACTCTACTAATGCTGATACCACACCACATCTTCTAACGTGTCGAAATGTTGCGTTTCACTGGCAGCCATTCAATCATAAATGCTTTATCTTTGCTTGCTCCAAACGTCCTAGGATTATGAATTTTGAACAGGTCACCACTTCATTACCAAAAGAAAGAAAGAAAAAAAGAAGTGGTGAAAGAAAGAAAGAAAACTATCTAGGTGGTGTCCAAGTAGTAAGGACTTAGGATTAAGGAGTTTGCTTTCTCTGTGGTCTCAGGTTCGAGTCCTTAATTGCTCATATGATGGCCACTGAAGGTTTACATAATTATTAACTTTAGGGCCCGTGAGATTAGTTGTGGTGCGCGCAAACTGACTCAGATATCCACTTTAATCTAAAAAAAAGAAAAAGAAAAGGTCACTTTCGCCGCCCATGGCAGCAAAAGACTGCGTCTCCCTCCCTCCCTCCCTCTACTAATCAAAAGAATTTTCAAAAGAATTACTCGTACATCTAAGTTAAATATTAATCAACCACTTTCAAATCTAAAAGCACACGTACGGCACCATGCCATGCCCAAAAAACAATCGTCGTCTTCTTAATATGAGTCCCTCTAATTTCTTCAATGCAGACTAGTCATATTATTTATTAATCCACGTACGTAACTAAATGCTTAATTAGTGAATAAATATGGTAGAGGTTCAAGATATGCCATATTGTTCACTGCAATTTTTCCTCTCGGTACTTGCTAGGAGTTAATTTTCTGCGCAGATTTTGTTCTCTAGTATTGTGAATATGACTAACCTCTTATAATATCCCGGTTCATAACATACGATTGAAAATGGGGTTGTACAATATCTCAATAATGCTTTTTCCATGAATTTTATTCTGATCTTAATTACCATTCTGAATTATAACATGCGAAGAACAAATGTCTGAAATGACATAATAGATCAACATATATAGAGCTAGTTCATGATGAAGACACAAAACTAAGCATAGACATGAGGGTTCTCCAAGAGGTAGGCTTCCACGACTTTGTATATTCCCCTGGCTTTGTCTTGACCAGCCTTGATTTCTTCCTCTTTGAGAGTAAAATCTCCAAGCATTAAATAGCTGCTTGTCATCTTACAATCGCAACCTCCATCACTCCCTACCTCAAACCTGACCTCATAAGCAATAGATTCAAGCTTCTCCCCAAGTGGATCCCCTTCAATCATAGTGTACCTGCAAACGAGATTGACTCTGTCTAGCTCATCAATTCGATGTTTCACATATTTGATATCAGTACCTGCACGGTAAACTAATCAAATGCATGCACCAAGTTGCGATATTGGCATTAGACTTGCATCAGTAAAACAAATTGCTAAGTGCGTGTGTGTATATTATACGCATATATTATGCGAGAACGCTTGAATATACAGGCTAAGGGCAATGGCAGTTGTTTGCAGCCACGATTCCTAACCGTACGAGTGATTCACAGGGCCACCGCGACGGCCATGATCCGCGGCTGCAAGCTACCATCACTATCCTTAATATATAGCCCTTGTTTACAAACCTTCGGTGAAGTTTACTTGCTCTATGCTTCCAGCTCCTCCATCTCCATGGATTAAATCAACACTTTTTACGATTTGCGGAAAGAGTTTTGGGATCAAATTGTTTGAGTCTAAGATTAAGGCCTTGAACATGCGTGCTGGAGAAATTGGGCATGTAAATTCTTGTGTGTAGCTAGCGACACCCATAGTGTTAAAGATTGTACCAAGCCGACGAGATGACACTAGCTTATATATGCATGCATGGATGAGTGAGTAGATTTTTGGTTTCTTTGGTAATTAGCCTCCTAAACTTTGTTGAATGGAAATGCCACCACTGAAAGTATAATTTTCAAAGTCTTCAAATTTTTGTTGGCTGCTAAGACCTGACTGGGGTTTGTGCGCCTGTGCATAAATATTTCAATATTTGTTAGGGGCTGGAAACGGTTTCTTCTACTTTGAAAATTTAGAAAAAGGCACGCTCACGTATTCACATGGGCGGCGCTCCAAGGGGTGATTTGGGGGGCCGAGGTATCGGGCTTCGAGCTCCTGGTCTAAGCTGAATGCAAGTTGGACCTGAGGCCTACTCAAGGTCACAAAACTATTGCTGGTGATTCAGAGCACAGAAGCTGATCGGGCTTCCCCCATGTTGATGTATCCGCAGTGGATACACCAATCAAAAGGAAACTATATGTCGAAACATAGGTAAAAAGCTTTTATTGGTCCCTCTTAAAGGTGTATTAGTTTGCTTTGTCCTCTTTATTAATTTTTTTTTTCTAATGTCAACCATTTGAAGCTTCATAACATGTTCAATCATGAAATAGCACATGATTGCTACTATAGTTTAATTAGTTGATGAATCAAATTATCAATCAATGAATGAAATACTCTGTGCAAGCTAAAATTCCAGCAATCTATATAATCTGTGCAAGCTAAAATTCCAGCAATCTATATTGATATGAAAGAGTAGTTGATTTCTAATAATAATAGTAGTAATTAATATTAATGTTGTATTAGTTTGCTTTGTCCTCTCTATTAATTTTTTTTTTCTAATATCAACCCTTTTTAAGCTTCATCAACATATCAATCACTAAAGAATACATGATTACTACCCATAATGTAATTAGCTAATAAATCAGATTATTAAACGACAACTTAAAGTTAAGCTTCATCAACATATCAATTACTAAAGAGTACATGATTGCTATCATAGTGTAATTAGCTGATAAATCATATTGTCAAGTGACAACATGATTGCAAGTTCTAATGATCTAAGGTGTTGTCAAAGGAAAGAAACATATTGAGTCTAACAAAGGGAAAAATAGTCCTAAAGTTAAGGATTATGTTGACACAGGTTCCAATTAATTGTAGTAATACATGCAAGCCAAAATTCCAATAATGCATGTTGACAGGAAAGAGTAGTTGATTTCCAATAATAGCAGTAGTTAATATTAATTATTATTAGTTTTAATCTAGTTAGTTTAATTGTTAGGATTTGTTTCGTTGTTAAATAACTCTTATTTATAAAACTATTTAAGACAAGAATGTAATGATTGTTTAACTAACTTAGAAAAGGTTTTGAACAGGTGTGAAGAGAAGAATCTTGTGCTGAATTGGAAAAAATATCACTTTATGGTAACAAACGACATTATACTTGGTCATATTGTTTCATTAAAAGGAATTAAGGATGACAAATCTAAAATCAAGTTAATTGCAAATTTGCCAACACCAAAATCTATTAAAGATGTTAGATCATTTCTAGGACATGCTAGTTTTTATAGAAGGCTCATAAAAGATTTTAGTGTAATATCTAAACCTTTAAGTAACCTTCTAACAAAGGATAATATTTTTGAATGGACTGAACATTTTGAAGAAGCCTTTGTTAAACTTAAAAACTTGCTTTACTTGTGCTCCTGTCATTCAACCTCCTGATTGGTCATTACCTTTTGAAATAATGTGTGACGCTAGTGATTATATCATAGGTGCTGTTTTGGGACAAAAAAAAGATAAGAAACCTTGTGTGATTTACCATGTAAGTAAAACTTTGAATAGTGCTCAAATAAATCTTTCCCAATGAATCTTTACTTTCCGTTTCTACAATGTCTTGATTTGCTAATATTATCAATTTTCTTGTTTCAGGACAATTGCCAACTCATTGGAGTACCAAAGATAAAAGAAAGTTCTTGAACGAAGTGAAAAACTTTT